CCCTCTTTGCCCCCAAGGACAAAGTTTTTTGTCTCCACAGACTCTAAGTGCACCGGCTCACCCTTTTTTTTCCCTCATCAAATTTTATGATTCACCTCATCTTTATAGACCCATCCGCTGACACGTCCATCCCCAAAAAAACTGAATACATTCACCTCCCCATACTCTCTCCCTCAAATTGATATCCAATCTTTCATCACCCAATCTTTTTCTTACCTCTTTCCCTTACTCTTTCCTGTATTTACTTTTAATTTTCTTCTTTTGCATAACTACCAAATTCATCCACCCAAACCCCTGCAACTTCTCTTCAGAATCTCCCAAGAGCACAGTGTCATCAGCAAAGAGCAACTGTGGGCAAAATCCCACTTTGTGTGATTCTTTATCTTTTAACTCCACACCTCTTGCCAAGACCCTTGCATTTACTTCTCTTACAACCCCATCTATAAAATATATTAAACAACCACGGTGACATCACACTCCTTGTCTAAGGCCTACTTTTATGGGAAATAATCTCCCTCTTTCCTACATACTCTAACTTGAGCCTCACTATCCTCGTAAAAACTCTTCAACTGCTTTCAGTAACCTACCTCCTACACCATACACCTGCAACATCTGCCACATTGCCCCTATCCACCCTGTCGTATGCCTTTTCCAAATCCATAAATGCCACAAAAACCTCTTTAGCCTTATCTAAATATTGTTCACTTATATGTTACACTGTAAACACCTGGTCCACACACCCCTACCTTTCCTAAAGCTCCTTGTTCATCTGCTATCCTATTCTCCGTTTACTCTTAATTCTTTCAATAATAACTCTACCATACACTTTACCAGGTATACTCAACAGACTTATCCTCCTATAATTTTTGCACTCTCTTTTGTCCCTTTGCCTTTATACAAAAGGAACTATGCATGCTCTCTGCCAATCCCTAGGTACCTTACCTTCTTCCATACATTTATTAAATAACTGCACCAACCACTCCAAAACTATATCCCCACCTGCTTGTAACATTTCTACTTTATCCCATCAATCCCGGCTGCCTTACCCCCTTTCATTTTACCTACTGCCTCACAAACTTCCCCCACACTCATAACTGGCTCTTCCTCACTCCTACAAGATGTTATTCCTCCTTGCCCTATACACGAAATCATAGCTTCCCTATCTTCATCAACATTTAACAATTCCTCAAAATATTGCTTCCATCCTCCCAATACCTCTAACTCTGCATTTAATAACTCTCCTCTCCTAGTTTTAACTGACAAATCCATTTGTTCTCTGGGCTTCCTTAACTTGTTAATCTCACTCCAGAACTTTTTCTTATTTTCAACAAAATTTGTTGATAACATCTCACCCACTCTCTCATTTGCTCTCTTTTTACATTGCTTCACCACTCTCTTAACCTCTCTCTTTTTCTCCATATACTCTTCCCTCCTTGCATCACTTCTACTTTGTAAAAACTTCTCATATGCTAACTTTTTCTCCCTTACTACTCTCTTTACATTATCATTCCACCAATCGCTCCTTTCCCTCCCGCACCCCCTTTCCTGTAACCACAAACTTCTGCTGAACACTCTAACACTACATTTTTAAACCTACCCCATACCTCTTCGGACCCATTGCCTATGCTCTCATTTGCCCATCTATCCTCCAATAGCTGTTTATATCTTACCCTAACTGCCTCCTCTTTTAGTTTATAAACCTTCACCTCTCTCTTCCCTGATGCTTCTATTCTCCTTGTATCCCATCTACCTTTTACTCTCAGTGTAGCTACAACTAAGAAGTGTTCTGATATATCTGTGGCCCCTCTGTAAACATGTACATCCTGAAGTCTACTCAACAGTCTTTTATCTACTAATATATAATCCAACAAACTACTTCATTTTGCCCATCATATCTTGTTATTTATTTATCTTTTTTTCTTAAAATATTTTTTACCTATAACTAAACCCCTTTTCTATACAAAGTTAATCAAAGGGCCCCCATTTCATTTAACCTGGCACCCCAAATTACCTACCACCCCCTCTCTAAAGGTTTCTCTACTTTGCATTCAGGTCCCCTACCACAATTACTCTCTTGGTTAAAAATTTCCCAATACTTTCATTTTAACATCCCCCCAAAATCTCTCTCTCTCTCTAAATTCCTCCTTCTCCAGTTGCATACACGTTATTTGACCACTTTTCGCATCCAACCTTTCTTAAAACCACATAATCCTTGAATTTACACATTGATATTCTCTTTTCTCCTTCCATAATGACCTTAACTTACTGCTACCCCTTTCCTTTGCTCTAACTCTCAATACTCCGTTATTCCATTTTTTCCCCCCCTGAAAAACCCTACCCCTTCACTTTTTTTTGTTTGGGGAGGAATCCCAAATTTTTTCATTAAACACAGCAAAACTGTTTCTTTTCATCGATACATCCACGCCATTCAAGCTCCCCCTTTATAAAGTTTTTTTCTTCTTTTTTGTAAAGTTACAGGAGAAGGGGTTATAGCCCATCGCTCCCGGGTTTTATCGCCTCATCCACACATGGCTTACGGGGGGAAAGTTTTTTTCACTTCCCCTGGGCAATAGAAAAAAAAAGAAGAACAAGAGCTATTTAGAAAAAAGGAAAAACCTGATGATGTATTATTATCATGTGCGGTCTGTGAAGTGTGACCAAAAATGAAGTAGGAGTAGCAAAAATCCCTGTTTTACGGTTTATGAGACAGCAAAAGACACCCCAATCCCACCCCTCATGAAAACAGTTTCAGGGGTTTTTGTTTACAGTCATCTGGCAGGACGGGAGTACTTCCCTGGGGGGTTGCTGTCTCCCAACCCCTCCTAAAAAAAAAACACAACCCCAATTTAAGAGGATGGAAGGGAGGGGGGGTCAAATTTTGATTGTAACGACAGAAGTAAGCTTGTTCTGCTGTGATTGTAACAATGAAGGTCAGTTCTGTAACCATGATACTTTCTCTTTTGTTGCTGAATTGACTGAATCAGTAGATTTTTGTCTTGTATTTCCAAAGTCTGTTAAATTGAGGTCCATTTGTTTACAGTAAATTCTCTTATGATGTACCCTCGCCTAACGATATTAATCCATTCCTGAGAGCTCATCATTAGCCGAATTAATTTTTCCCCATAAGAAATAATGGAAATCAAATTAATCCATTCCTGACACCCCAAAGTATGAAAAAAAAATTTTACCACATGAAATGTACATTTTTATACACCCAAAAAGAAGACATGCACAATTACTACTCTACTAAATAAAGAATACATGACACTTACCTTTATTGAAGATCTGGTGATGATTGATGGGATGGGAGGAGGGGAGATGGTGGAGGTTGTTATTATTTGGAAGGGGAATCCCCTTCCATAAGGACTTGAGGTAGCAAGTCCTTTTCCAGGGTTACTTCCCTTCTTTTAATGCCAATAGGACCATTTTGAGAGTCACCGCACCTCTGTCGCACAACAGATCTGTCCACAGAGCTCTGTACCTCACGTTCCTTGAAGATTTGCCTAAAATGGGCCACAACATTGTTATTGTAATAGTCACCAGCGCAGCTTGCAATAGCTGTTAGGGTGATTTTCGTCCATAAAGGTTTGCAGTTCAACCCACTTTGCACACATTTCCTTAATCTCTTTTTTCAATTCCATACTAATTCTCGCCCTTTGTACCACAAGGTTGGCACTAGAAGCTTTCTTGGGGTCCATGGTGACTTGTTTTGCAGTTACCAGCACTAAATACACTGGGATAATGTGAAATGTACCGAATATAATGCGCAGATGCGACCACGCTGGCTAGCTTGTAAACACTGGCACCTGTGGGCAGCGTGGACAGGTCCCGGATGAATCACGTTGGGCAAGTTTTTTATCGTTAGGCGGGGCAAAACTTTTACGCTCAAACACTTCGTTAGGCGGATTTAACATTATGCGATGTGTTCATTAGGCGAGGGTCACGTACAGGATACATTACTGAAATAGATAAGTGGAGTATTTATCTATAAGAGGGAAAAGAAAAAAAAGAGGGAATGTTCTAGAGTATAATGATACCAACACTATATGGGTGTGAGGCATGAGCTTTAATAATTGTAGCAAGGAGGAGGCTTGCATCATTGGAGACATCATGTTTGATAGTATGTAATTTGTGGTTTGAATATTATGCAGATAATTCGGAATGTATTTGCAGAAATTTACATGTATAATAATTTCTCGTGGCTCAAATTACATACTCGATTATTCACCATCTTAAAATCTCCTCAGTCCTTGACGTCACAGTTACATCGTAAAGCTCGACAAGTCAAGCCTCTGGTTATCAGACGTATAATTCAGAGGGTTGAGGAGGGGTTATTGAGGTGGTCTGGGTCATTAGAGAGGATGGAGCAGAATTGGAGACCAGAGGGTGTATAATCTGGGATGGAAGAATGGAGAGGTAGAGGTCAGAAGGGAGGGGTAAAAGGAGGTTTTGAGTGCTAGGGTCTTGAGCATCCAGCAGACTTATGCATGCATGTTAGATTGGTGTGGAGACAAGTAGGTTTTATAGTGGCCATGCTGTTGAGGTGGAAGCTAGGTAACATTTATGAAGGGATTCGGAGAAATTGGTTAGCAGGATTTGAGTCCTAGAGGTGGGAAATACAGTGCCTTCAGTCTGATGGAGGTTGTAGAGATGCTGCAGTTTGGAGAATCATTGAATTTTGATGCTTGTGCACTTCTAGCAAGATGGTTATTGAATAAAGGATGGTGAATTTGTTTAATTTTTTGTATCACCCTTCTTTGGTGATAGATGGCTGGTATGATAAAAAAAGATTGTAGTTAATGACTGAAATTAAATCAGAAAACTGGAATGTATCATAACTATTGAAAATTTCAAATTGTGCTTTCACAATAAATTTATAGTATAGATATCACACCATTTTTATGTACCATATAGTTTACTTTTCACTTATATTGGTGTAAAGTTTATATTTGTAACAGGATGTCTTTTACAGAGTTTGACCTTGAGATTATGTCCAGAAATGGGCAAGATGGGCATGTTGGGATCAACCATACCTGGCTATGGATGCCCTGGGGTCTCCTCTGTTGCATATGGTCTTATTGCTCGAGAAGTGGAGAGGGTAGATTCTTCTTACAGGTAAAGAGAAGCACTGGTATAAATCCTTAACACATTTGTAGTCAACTGTCTTAATGTGCTAGGTATTAATCTTATTTTGGATTCTTTTTTATAGTGTGCTTTGAATGTCTTATTACAGATCTGCAATGTCTGTCCAGTCATCACTTGTCATGTACCCCATCTGGGAATTTGGCACAGAAGAACTTAGATTGAAATACCTTCCCAAACTTGGTAAGATGATACTATACTGTATTTATGTTTTTGGTTATGTGCTAGAAGTAAAACACCTGCCATATTTGATTGAGTGTAGGCCGAAGTTTGGTGGCCAATTTATGGGCAAAAAAGTAGGATGTCTATTCATACATGGGTAATATTTTTGTACTTACTGAAATTTATAAAACTGTCATCCCTATACTGAAATTCATTATTCCCTGGTTTTGTACAACCCCAACAAGTTTAGAGCTTCATGAATGTAGTAAGAGTAGAGTAACACTACAGTAGGTCTACTGGTCATGCTAGGGAGGTCCTGCTCACAATTAGATTTAATTAATGTACAGTTACTGCCAAACCAGTTTTAATTCCTGTAAAAGAAGAGTACTGCAATAGGTCTGCTGGCCCATGCTAGACAGAACAACTCTCATTCAGCCATTCCCACTAATGTATCGGTAAGTCCAGGTCTTTTTAATTTCTTCTACTCATTTACAACTCTGTTGCCAATCCAGTACATTCCTGTATCCTTGTTGAATTTTGTTTTAGTCTCCTGAAATTCTCTATGTAACTAGGAGCTTTCCATCATGTATGAAATAGATGTCACCTGATTTTCTGACAATTTTTTATTAAATAAAAATTTATTTGTTATATTTATTTGAATCTCTTATTTTGCGTGTTAAACACATTTGTGCCATTAAAACCTTATACTACGAAGCTTTGTAAATCCAATGTAGGGTGTGAGATTATCAGTATATATAGCAAAAGAGGCCAGGTATGAGAATCTACAGGTCAGTGTTATATCAGTCAGGCACCTGACTGCATTGTCTTACCAGGATAGCAACAGGCTGGCCAAATACAGTGATACCTTGACTAACAAGTTTAATTCGTTGTGTGACCGAGCTCGTAACTCAATTTGCTCATATATCAAATCAATTTTCTGCCATTGAATTAATTGAAATGCCATGAATCCATTCCTGCCCCCCAAAACCACCCCTGTTTTTTGGTTACGGGTTTTTAAATAAGAAAAATGTATTATAAATAAGAAATATTGTATACTCCACCACCACCTTAACTACTCCAACTCACCATTCTACTTGCCCCGCAATTTACTTTTCCCCC